GAGCCGCACAGAAATCCAAATACAGCCAACAACTGCTCAGACTTCCATTTCTAATTAGTAAAAAGTTGCCATGATGGAGGAAGGGCCTCTCCTTGTAGGTGGGTGAAGCGGTGATGGTTCAGTCTGCAACATCTCTACGGAGACTAAGCACCGCTTCAGGAGGGAAAGTGAAATCTGGTTCCATGAAATCATTTTAAGCCTCACATGTCATTGCTCTTACCACCGCAAATGGACACCTCGTTTACCGCCCCCTTCCTCCCCGTCTCAAAGGGGGTCACAATCTGCAAGTCCACTGGATTGACGGAAACAGAAGTGGCGATCAGTGGGGCTGAGGAACTTAAGCCCGATTGATTACGCCCCTCACCCCCTCCAAACCATCAACTCAACAGAGTTCCCCACCCTCTACCCCACCTCTTGCGCCTCTACGATGGTGTCGCGTGGGTAGCAAGAAGTGCTAAATTGTTTGAAGGGTAAAATTACCTTAACACGAAGTGATTACCCAAAAATGATGAAAAGTTCATTCGATAATAAAATCACTTCTTTGAACGCCCTTCAGAAGTGCAAATTATGAGGAAATTTATTAGTCGCCCCAATTGCCCCTTTAATTGGAAGTAATAAGAAGTAAGCTTAGGGAGATACGAATAGGGAAAATTATTTTTCTTGTGCCTGAATAAACCCCAAAGTTCAGGTCCACTGGAAACTGGGACAAATTCGAAGGGTGCGAGTGGGTTTTATGAGGTCGTCGTCGTCCTCTTCCTCCCCCTCCTCCTCCTCCTCCTCCTCATCCCACAACGTCTGAAGCCCAAATTTACAAGCTGGAACTGTCTTCCATCCTCCACAATCACAAGTCCCTCCTGGGGCAAATGGAGGAAGAAGGCAATTTCGGAAAGTGGACAACTTAAAAATTTCAAATAAAACGACGCATTATGGCACGGGTGCAGGAAAACTGGAGATAAGAGGGAGAAGGGAGGGAAGGGGGGGAGGAAGGTAGGCAAACTATCTGCACCTATCTGCCCTACAAAGGCACAGAGGGGACGAAGAAAATTACTTCTGTGTACTGTTTACCATGTAACACATGACTTGAATCTTCAAAAATTGCAGCAAAACAGACTTTTGGTGAACCCATTTGGGTGCATAAAAATCCTGACCACGAACAAAGACACTGAGGGGAAAAGGGGAGGATTAAAGGTGCGCACACTCGTTCTCCATTGTGTTAGCAAGGACTGACATCGTTTGTCCTTTGCAATGCCGCTTTGTTTGTTTAAATTCAGGCTTTCGACAGACCTTAGGGTTCTGCATCGGTGCTTCTACCGGGAGCCATGACCATAGTCCACAGTCCCCCTCGAAAGAGCCTTACAAGTAACTTCGGCTAAGCTCCACTTCACTAGACTGATGACATGAAATAAGGCGAGGTGGTTTATGGTCAAGCTAATCAGACTTTGTATCACCATTTCCCCTTCCTATTCAAACAGCAAAACTCAAGTTTATGCCTATTTCAAGGGTAAACAAACAAAGACATCTCAATTTGGCATGAGGGTGAATGAGATGTCAAGCAAAGTTGCACGTACAGTTGACAGAGATTTCGGTGTGTTGACGTTGAGCCACTTGGTCAGGAGGATAGCTGGTGGAGGCTTCACAAATCAGTTTTTGACCATCTTGTTCAGTGGTGACATTCTCCAGGGTAAGACCCAGTTCTAATTCCCCTTCGAAAGGTTTTGCTGCCTTCTCCTCCGCATAGACGTCGCCTGTGGCCTAAAAAATGAAGGAAAGTTGAGATCTTCCGCTCGGAACATTGGTGAGCACTTTTATGCATTTAGATTTGGAGCGGAATAAACGTCTTATGGATGCCGGAAAAGGTGGGGAGGACGAGAAGCTAAACCGCCATTTCGTGTGCTCGCACTCCTGCGGATACAGGTACCCTCTGGACCATCCTGATGGTCTCAGGTCTTCCATGTCAGTAGTGCACCTTCAGCTATATTCGTGGTGCTACAGTTAGAGGTTTTATCCCATTTTATAACCTACACGACCAAATCTTCTCCACGGTGAGTTACTACTTAAACAAGATCAGGCATTTCAGTAGGGACAATTCAGGCACACGAGCTTAAATGCGAATTAGGAGCAAAATAGGGTCTTAGGCAGCAAATGCTTAGAATAGAAAGCCGGAAGGTCACAAGCAAGCAAAAAAATTTTGTTTAATCCTTTATAAAGACAACACCAGCTAAGCCAGTGTCTCGTGGGTGGTTGTGTGGCGTGACGACGATGGTCGGCCAGTAACGGGGACGGTGCGAGCAGAGAGAAAAGAAAAATTTAAAAAGCTGAGGCCGAAAAGGACACAAAACAGCAGTGACGTGCACTTCTACCCAGAAATCGGCCAACTTGGAGAGGAAACAGGATCAAAGATCAAAGATGGAAGATCTAGTAAACGTGATGATGGGATTGGAGGAAATTATTGACGCTTTTTATGCGGTTAACTGGCCATTGAGTAGGCAAGTATGAGAGTATTCAGACAAAGCGCTTTTTGTTGACTAGTATAAAGTGGTGGAAAATGCAGTAACTGCCTCTATCACCCGTGTTGGGTGGAGGGGCGAGGCACGATCACGTCGACTGCGCGGCCCAACTGTAATCGGTGAGGGACGCAGCAAACCAATGAGGAAACCTTGAAGGATGTACTTTAGCAAGCTGATTATCGAGACGGATGTAAAAACACTGTCTCGGGTGTCAGCGCCACAAAAATAGTCTTTTTTATTTATGACAGACAGGACTATCATACTAATTAGGTGTAAAACGGTTCCATAATCACCCTTCTAGTAGGAATTTGGGACTTTGAGAGTCAAAAATAGCGTCTAAAATAAAATCTTGTGAGTAATTATTGAACAAGTGAAGAGGACGACTTAAGCCTGTTTCAAATGAGTGGGCCAGTTCAGAATTTTACGTCAAAAATTCAAATGCTTTGATGGAATAAAGAATTGATCTCAGCAGCAAGAGAATCGAAGTCTTGCATCTTCACCTTGACACGGTTCCGTCGATGCTGTGAGTGGTTGTCAAAATAGGTGTCAATAACTCGATGGACGCTGAAATAAAATAAGTAGCCAAT